GATTCATTCCTCCCCAGCAAGGAGACTGGTGTGCTGCCCTGACAAAAGAAGAATGTCTGTTTCTATGCAACCATACGGAGTTGTTTAGAGAATCTATGGCCTAAGGACAGGGAAGGGGCTTACACCAACCGCCAAACGGGGCTAAATACCTGAACAGCAGCAGGTCGGGGGGTTGAGTCTTGGTTTAACATTCCACCCTGGAACAACGCTACAACACTCCTAACTAGGCCCACTCATTATGCTAATCTTAGTCCTTACTATTCACGCCATGTGTTAACTTCATGGAGACGAAGTAGACTATGTTGTGAAAAGAGGGACAGATAAACAACTGTCCAGCTACTAGTATGTGCAACAACGAATATCAGCAGCTGTGGTCAATGCTTACGAGACGTGAGAGCAACTAAGCAGACCTTGAGGAGAGCAGGAGTGCTCGTCTGCACCAAGAATAGAGAAACCGGGGGGAATGTAGGGCATCGTAGGGCAGAGAAGGCAGGAGGAATTCATTCCAATTGTCGGGAATTTAACTTGGGTGGGGCAATGACTAACGGCAAACCTTTGCTTCTGGTCATTGCTTGCCTTGCTACACGCTGTATGGGGATTATGGGATTGGGTCATTGAAGCACACGAACCCATCAGGCAATAGGGGCACCAATCCTGTCCAATTATTTCAAAAGGCGGCAACTGGGCAACCAATCATTGTGTGAGGAGAGTACACACACACAGTGATCAGCTTGTGCGCAGCTTGTGCACCAATGGGGATAAAAGGCATGCCGTAATGTCTCCAGGTCCGGTCCTTGCCTGCGAGAGTGGCCACTGCCGTGTGCTCTGGGGCTTGGACCCTGAGGCTAGCCAGAGAAAATAAACCTCCTCTTGTGTTGATGCATCCCCTCCGATGTTGCTGCTTTTCTGTCCGGTGGGGCTGTGGAAGGTCGGTCCCTAACAATTGGAAATTGTGACATTCCTTCCCCTTGTGACCTCTGTAAATGCCCTGAAGTTTAGAGACCTTGTTGCTTTCTTTACTTTCCCTGCCCTTTGGTAATGGCTAGGAAGGTCAAACACACACACAGTGGGAGGCCCAGAGAAAGGAAAGCAAGGCAACACATTGACAAATGTATCATTTGTAAATTAATATAATTTATATCACATATAAAATTATATATAATCGTATAAATATATATATAATCCTATAAATTATATGAATGAATAGAATATGATGAATTTATATCATTGCTGTTGTTAATTGGAAGACAATGCACCAAAATATCAACAGTGGAATTATGGACATATTCTGATTTCTTTTGGGGGGAGAGTTGATGTCTCCTAAAAAAAGAATCAATACAGTGATGGAAGGCAGGAGTGCAAGAATTCAGGCATTCTGTGTGGGGGTTACTCTGTCTCCCTTTAAGGTCCATAAAAGGAGCAAACTGAGCCCCACGGGGAGCCCTCGGGAGGGCGGTGTTTCCCCATCGCCCGGCCCTGCCTGCGGCGGCGGCGCGGGCACTGAGCGCAGCTCGCGACGCCTCGCCCACCGCCTCCCCCGTGGCCCGCCAACCGAGCCTCCAAAGCCCCGGCCTTCGCCCGCCCGCCCCGCCGCGAGCCTCCTCCCAGCCCCGCCCGCCCGCCCCCGAGCTCCTCCACGCCCCGCCCCGCCCGCCGGAGCTCCTCCCACGCCCCGCCCCCCCGCGAGCTCCTCCACGCACGCCGCCCCGCCTCGCACCGCTGCCCCCGCCCGCCGCCCGCGGCCCCGCCGCGAGCTCCTCCCCCCACGCCCGGGCCCGCCGCGCCACGGCTCTCCAACGCCCGGCCTCGCCGCCCGCCCCGCCCGCCCCGCCCGCCCCGCCGCGAGCTCCCCACCGCCGGCCGCGCCCGCCCCGACTCCTCCCCACGCCCGCCGCCCTCCCCCAGCCCCGCCCGAGGCCTCCCCCACCGCCGCCGCCCTCGCACCGCCCGCCCTGCCGCGAGCCTCCCCCAACGCCGGCCTCCGCACCGCCCCCCCCCGAACTCACCCCGCCACGCCCGCCCTCGCACCCGCCCCGCCGCCCTCACGCACTGCCCGCCCGGCCGGTCGGTCGAAAGCGCGTTCTCGGTGGACGCGGACCTTCATCTGGAACCTGCTCCCTGGCGACCTCGCACTTTCTGCCTGTCCCCTCGCTGCCTCTCCGCGTCCTGGCTGTCGCCGGGCGTCCGCGCGGGCGGCGAGGCGGCGCGGGGTGCGCGGGGCGGGGACGCCGCACTTGCGGGACCGTCGCGCCTCCGGTGCGGCCCCGCCGCTCTGCGCCCTGCGGCGACGGAGCGCAGCCCTTCCTCCCGCGCCCACGCTGGGCGCGCGTCTCCGTCCGGGATGTGCGGGCGGGCGCGGGGCGGGCGGCCAGTAGGGAACTTCACGTGCGCCAGCAGGCGCCGCTTCCGCAGGCGGGACGCGGGGTCCGGGATCCCACCGCCCGCTGCAGAGGTCCCACAGTGCCCGCTCCGGCTGCAGGGATCCAGCTGGAGCACCAGGGCCCTCCGCCGGCTAGTCACCTGCCGCGAGCCTGTCACCTGCCGAGATAGAGCCTGTCACCTGCCGAGAGAGAGCCTGTCACCTGCCGCGAGCCTGTCACCTGCCGAGATAGAGCCTGTCACCTGCAGCGAGCCAGTCACCTGCCGCGAGCCAGTCACCTGCCGCGAGCCAGTCACCTGCCGCGAGCCTGTCACCTGCCGCGAGCCTGTCACCTGCCGCGAGCCTGTCACCTACAGCGAGCCGGTTACATGTAGCGAACTGGTCACCTGTAGCGGAGCCTGTGACCTGTAGTGAACCGGTCACTTGCAGCGAGGCGGTCACCTGCCTCGACCCTGTCACCTGCTGCGGGGCCATGGCGGTGGTGACGGTGCGTGGGCCCCAGTCCTCACGCACCAGCCGGCCAGGGAGGGAGGGGGATTCGCTCCCGGTCGGGCGGCTCCCGCCTGAAGGGTCCTCAACTGAGGGGGTGGGGGCAGGAGGTGGAAGCCGGCCGCGGGGGAGGGAGCGCCCGGCTGGCCCGGGAGCGCTGCGCTCGCTCTCCGTCCGGTTCTCCTGGGGTCTGCAGGGACCGGAGGGGGAAGTGGGTAGCGCGGAGCGCTTGGGTCTCTGGGCGGCTGTGCGTGGGAAGGGGCGACGGCGGAGGAGGGGGAGGGGGAGGGGCAGGAGGTGGGGGAGGGGAGGGGGAGGAAGAAGAGCGGGAGCCACGGAGCCCAGCTTTATTTCTTTTCTGAACAGTACTTTTCTTCTTTCCCCTTAAATGCTAAAAGGCATGTTTTAACAAATCCTGTGCATATATTTCTGATTGCTTTTCTCATCTTTCCCGCACGTCTCTACCTAATTTTGCACCGCACGCTGTACATCACCAGGCTTTTCTTATCTCTTTGCACCCACGAATCCTCCTAAATTCCGTTCATCTGTTCACGTGGCCTATCGATACTGGGTTCTTTATAGACTGTCTGCGCCTTGGCTGCCAGGCTGTGTTGTACATCTGTGAGGCTGGGTTTATGGTCTTATTCATATTAATAGCACCAGCAACACTTTAGAGTGCTTTTCAATTTACAAAATCACCCTCAGAGACCATTTCATATACTGTGTTTTCTCTGTGACCTTGACCTCATTTCCTGCCATTCCTGGAAGGATGTTGGAATACACTTGATTCAATGGTAGCAAATTTTATCGGTGACCAGTTACAAACACGTGTGGAAGCCGAACAATGGTACATGCATTGGTTGGTTTTATTTTAACATGTTTACAAGGGAAAGGCATTCATGAATTCAAGGGTGTAGGATCCGCAGTTCTCCCCACTTTCTTTCCATATCCTGATTGAAAATTGCAGAGTTTCTTGACCTCTCTGTGACCACCAGTTGCAGGTTTTTCCCAGGAAGCTCGAACCCAAACTGGGGCCTTGAACATTCCCAGGCACTGATAAAGATATCTAGGTTTTTGCCCAAAACACTAAAAGAAACTGGCCCTGGCATCAGCCAAATTCCTTAAACCCTCCCCAAAACTCCATGTCCTGACCCTCTTGCTGTGGACATACTTAGGTGGAACATCCTTTCTTCTCTTACTGTCCACCTGAGGGTGCACTGCAGCACTCTGTCAGTTCCCCCATAAACGCTGTGGACTGATCACCCTGGGGTTCAGCCTCTTTCTGGGAATCCGGCTGTGCCCATGCGGGGCAGCTTGGAGCACTGCCTTGTGGGAACTCCCCTGCTGCCACTTTTGGGGCAGCTCCAGCCTCAGGTTTAGCAGGATGAAACAAAGGAACACACAAAAAATGTGATTTATTTATTTTTAGTGTAATTTACAAAACATGCACAATTTACACAACAAACAATTTATACAGCGGCAAAATCCATCAAGACGCGCTGCACATCAACACAGTGGCGCCCTGACTCTCGGGAACATCTGAACCTCCCACGGACTGCTGGGCCCACCTCCTGCTTCTGAGTCAATTGCTCTGAAGTGGGGCCTAAGAATTTTCATGTCTAATCAGTCCCTAGCTGCTGATGTTGCTGGTTCAAGAACAACATGTTGAAAACCACTGTATCAAACATCGAAAGCCCATGCTAGTCTTGTAGGCGAGAATGATGAATATCAGCCTGAATTCTGGGAGCCAGGCGTCTGAAGCAGTTAAAGCAGATATTTCCCCATAATAAGTGTTTCTTGTTGGGTCTGTCTGTTCCTTCTTCATTCTGATTAGAGTGCAGGACTTTCCTTCCGTGGATGAAGCAGGGGCTGAGGGGGGTGCCGAGCAGGTCCCTGCAAGAGGCATCTTCTTACTCCCCCTGAGGAATCACTCCCGCCCGTGTGCTAAGTAGCTGAGAGTTCTCTGCCTTTTTCAAATGCCTCAAAAACCTCATTGTGCATGTAAAAGAAGATGTACCCTGAGCGAAGCCTGGCTTCCTGAATCCGAGCCTCTGGGATTTCCGAAACCCGCAGATCATTGCATGTGAACCAGGACTGCTGCTGAAAGTCGTAAGTGTCGCTGACGTAATGGCCGGAAGCAACAGAGTTCCCGATGTGGCTGACCACACTGACGAGCCTGTAGGCCTGAAGAGCACCTGTCATCTTCACATTTCCTTTTGGCTCCTTGGCTTCAGCTTCTGTGTTCTCCATCTCTAACGTGGCTTTGTTTCCGGGGCTCTTAGCAGAAGCCAACGCACCAAGGGGACTCGAGTTAGCCTTCTGAAGTCTTAATTCTGCGGATCTACCGAGGGCCTCCTCGGCATGTTCCTGGGTGTCCGGCTTCCTAGAAGGACGCCCGGGAGGTGGAAGTAATGCCTGCTGAAGGGATTCCTCATTGGTTCTCCTCTCAGTACACTGCTGGAGCTCCCCAGCCGTTCCTTGAGATCCTTCTGGGATCCTGATTCCCTTAGGCTCATAAAGGCCACTGGGAGACTCAGTGATAGTGTCCAAATCTAACTCTACAGATGTATTGGTTTCCTCATATTTCTTAAGTTCTGGATTTCCAGGCGCCTCTTGGAGACGGATCCCCGTGAGATGTGTGCCTGGGCTGCCAGCAGGCTTGCCCTCGTCCTCACAGGCCGCGGGGAGCCAGTCGTCTCCCTGCTCCACCACTGAGTCAGCCACTGGCAGCTCCTTTTCACTGACCGTTTTATCTTCAGAGTTTACCAGTTTTGACTGTGGCTGGGAGCCATTTTCCAGATCTCTCTGATGATGTTCTTGATTTACTGCTTCACGGTTTCTCTGGAATCTTTGTAGGTCAGCATTCTTCTCTGGTGCAACGTGTAGAACCAGAGAATCACTTGATTCTGAGGTTGGCTTCGCCAATAGTGTCAATAGGCTGATGATCTCAGGACTTAACTCCTGAGAACCTTTCAGGGCCTTGTGGTCCCCAACAGGCACGCTCAAGGGAAGAGGTGATTTGGTCCTTTCATTGCAATGAGAGGATAAGTGTAAATATTTGGGAATATAAATTTGCTGGTCATTCTTCACCAGCAACCAAGCATCGTTGAAGCTGTAGCGTTTCAGATGAACAATTAGGACCCTGGGGAGCCTACTAAATCTGTGCATTGCAACGGAACTATTGTGCTTGCACATCTCACAGTGATACTCAAGTTCTTCTGCTTTAAAGAAAAGATCAAAAGAATCTTGAACAGACAAAGGAAGCGTTTTTTCTTCCTGGTGCAGGTTGATGGAGAGATAATTGTTCAGTTCTGTCTTGAGAACGGTGTGACTACAAGCTTTGCAAGTAATAGAGAGCTGCAATTCAAACTCGAAATTAGCAACAACAGGACAAACAAACACTTTGGTGACAGCGTTACCAACATACATCCGTGGAGATGAATTTTCAGCCCCAGGTTCCCTCACAGCCTCCAAACGAGAATTTAATTTTTTAACGTCCTCTTTCAGCTGGTCTAAACACTGACCTAAAAACTCATGAGCATCATTCTGCACGTTGCCAGAGAATATCTCAGCAACTGCTGAGATGGCATTTTTAACATTTACAAGTAATTCTTTCTGGGTCTCTCTATTACAAATGTCTTTCAAAGCGAACAGCATGCTGAGGGACATAATAAGACTATCAGAGGGGATTTTCTCCCACGGGAGACCTTGCATGAGTAAGTCATTAGCAAATGATGGAACCGCAAATAGTGATTGTAAAATTGCATTCATGTAACAGGTGTTTCCCAAATTGGGGAAACCTTTCCACAGTTTCTCAGTGTGATGGTCAAAGGACACTTGGGTGTTATTCCATCTTGGGTCATCCTGGCTATGCTCTTTTTCCGATGGAAATGCCCAACCTGTTTGGGCAGAGAAAGTCTGGGTGGAAGGAACAGTCGTCTCTTCATTGGGATTTCTATTAGAGTTGGGCTTGAATGAAGATCCAAGTTTCAAATTTCTATCTTTTTCTAAGTCTTTTAAACTGGATGGTTCCTTCTTATTGCTTGTTACATGCTTGGAGGAACCCACCTTCAATTTCTTGTTTAGCGTAAGGTCACTTTCTTTCAGACAGTCGTCATTCGTCTCTACATAAGGTGATAGCAGTTTTTTCCTCTTTTCACCTCGATTTTCTAAGAATGCTTTGTTGACAAGTGTTGATGATTTTGGCTTTAACAAAGGCATTTTCTGAGGGAAAGGCATTCCATTTCCTTTTTCAGTATGAAAGGATCTATAACTTGGCTCATAACACTTTTTGTAAAATAAAGTTTTGTCAGTTCCTTTCTTTGCATTCCTGCTTTTGGATTGTTGAAATTTGTTTTGATGGGCTAAGTCCAGGAACATCTTCAGCTGTTCAGCATCGTGGAAGGATAATTTGTCAATAAGCAAGGCGATATTGTTTTGCAAAGTTAAATGCAGGTGGCTTTGTCTTTCTTCACAATGTCTAAGGACCACACTTCTAATATTATTACTCAACTGAAAAACCCTTATTGATTCTGTAGATTTGAAAATTACCACTAGTTTAATGTCCTTTTCTCCTTCCTCTGTTTCAATGAGTGCTTCTTTCAACCCAGTCGTTCCAGTCTTCTTGCTCCAAATTTGTATGAATCCATGTATCCGCAGAGGAGACATCCTTTCTCTACAAATAAAACACTTGCGATGTGATCTAAAGGCAAAGAAAAAAAAAAGCAAACACATACATTTTAACCAAAAATGTATTAACAGTGATGTTTTATGGAAAACCATACATAATAAAGATAATACTCTGGACTTGACATTTTAGTGTGTCTGGTCATTCTTCAGCCAAGAGCACACCAAGAACCCAGGGCAGGCTGCCACACTAAGTAAAAGACTGTTTGGCAACACTACTTATATTATGAAGCTATACCAGTTTTCTAGAAGACATAGGCTCGGAGCACATGCTCTCTCAAGGGAGCTGTTAGGAGGGAGGAGGCGTATAAGTGGCCAACAGACACATGAATGTGCTCAACATCACTGGTCACGAGGAAAATGCAAGTCAAAACCACACCTGATGAGACAGAACTCCCAGCAATATTTGGAATGGATTATAGAAGAAAAATCGGGATGCTGTAGGAAGAATTGGAAGGGAGGAGAGCAAACGCTGGACATGCAGTCAGTGCTGTCGACACGGGAGTAGGACGTGAACCGATGTACTAGATCAGCAAAATTGTGAGGAAAGATGAGAGAGGCAGAGAGAGACAGAGTAAGGGAGAGAGAAACATGAAGAGGGAGATGTGTATCTAAAACAGAAACAGAGAGGTTTCAGAAAGGATAAATAAAAAATCTCTCTTAATTTTGTTCCCTCCCCTCACTTTGTAGGTTCATTTCTCTCCAGGCAGTCAAAGAATGCCATTTCAGACATGCTAATTTCTGAAAAAGCAACCAAGTCCCAATGAAAGCAACACAAAAAAACCACCCTTTGCTTACCCAAAGTTTCTCCCAAGGAAATATCAGTCAGAATTCAAGGAAATTTCAGCTTTGAAGATCCGTCTATGGCCACATCACAGGCAGAGTCCTGAGTGCCAAGGCTGTTATTAGAAAAAATGGCCAATCTAGCAACCAAACTTTATTTAATCAGTCCCATCCATCTCTAGTATCTTTGATTGTATTATCTTTCAGGAAAAAAATCCTAGGAAAACCAATCTTCCTCCAAACACCTGTAAATTAATGCAATCCAGGAGGAAACCTTGATAATGGGATTATCTCCAAAGCTTCCCTAAAAGTGCCCCTCCCTGATTAGATCACCATTAGATTAGATTGCTGTATCCATAGACCTGGCATTGATTAGTTTTCTTGGAACTCTACCACGACCAGACCTGCTAATATTTACTGCTTGAGAAACCTTGTACTTTATGAGTCTCTAACTTAACAGCTAGTTCTAACTGCTCAACCTAGAAATTTAGGCATCTTTACCTTTTTTTTTCTTGTTACAAAGAGGCAATATAGAAAGAGTGCATTAAGATCACACATTATACATTCTGAGTGCTAGGATTCAAAGCCTAGCTTCACCACTTACTGCTCCTATAACACAAAACTTAAAACTCAACCCTCTTGAGTCGTAGTTTCACATAAGTGAAAATGGGATGGGAATAATAATTGCTATTCATACTTCTTAGGTTATGATAAGTCAATGGACTAAAATGGCTTGCAATTGTGCCTTCACAGCAGTGTTAACATTATTATCAATGGCATATTTTTATCACTAATTCTAAGAATATATTAAACCATAGGGATGGATGCTTCACCTGGAGAAAATTAGGGATCTGTCATGGGAGGAAAGGGGGTAAGTGGCTTTTACTACAGGCGTATTGTTTGTTGCACTGAATCACTCTATGTGATTTACATGCCTCATTACAATTTAATTCTGCAAGTGACCATATGACATCCAATTTTAGTACTATTTAACAGGTAAGGAAAATGAGGCCTGAATATATTAGATTAAGGGACTTTTTTGAGTCACTTAGCTGAAGCAACAGGGATGCACAATCAGAAATTCCTGCTGTCAGGCCAGGCTTGCAGTGGCTCACGCCTATAATCCTAGCATTCTGGGAGACTGAGGCAGGCGGATCGCTCAAGGTCAGGAGTTTGAGACCAGCCTGAGCAAGAGCGAGACCCTGTCTCTACTAAAAAAATAGAAAGAAATTAACAGCCAACTAAAAATATACAGAAAAAATTAGTCAGGCATGGTGGCACATGCCTGTAGTCCCAGCTACTCGGGAGGCTGAGGCAGGAGGATCGCTTGAGCCCAGGAGTATGAGGTTGCTATGCGCTAGGTTGATGCCCTGGCACCCTAGCTGGGGCAACAGAGTGAGACTCTGTCTCAAAAAAAAAAGAAATGTCTGCTGTCAATAGAGACTCCTATTTCTTCAATATAGGCCAAGAACTGTGTCAAATCCAGCAAACCATGTCCAAAAGAGAAAATCTTCCATGACTATGATTAATGTGTGTTATATTTCCTAATAGATCCTAACATAATACCTAAAGTGGAAAAGAGGGCCCCCTCTGTTTCATTCTGTTAGTCATTTTGCTGCTAAGAAATTGCTTTAGTGCCTCTTTAGAGAAACTTTACCCTCACTGGACCTTAAATTTAATGAAAGGGGGAATGAGAAGGATTAGAGGTCATCTGTTGTTCCCTCAGCTGAAATCAAAACATAGATAGCCTTCATTTGCATTTTGAACGCGTGTTCCTTTCTGAAAATGCCAATATCCAATATCACAGAGACCACAACGCTACCCCCAGATCAGGATCCAGAATCAGGATTTCCTAATCCACAATTCATCCCACTAATGGTGAAAAATGAAACTCCCCTCATCACAGTATCTGACAATATCTCTAGGGCATTAAATATAGCAAAACATTCCCCACAACACACACAAATGCACACACCCCACCACCCCACAAGCAAACTTGGAAAAATGGGATTGAAGGAGACTTACAGTTGGAGTTGGAGCTGGAGTTGGGGTTAGGGTTTGGGTTCGGAGAGCTGCTCTGCAGGAGACTGGAGGCTACTACTGAAGGCTGAGTCTGGCATGACCATTATTTATAGTCCCAGGTGGCTCCACCCACTTCACAGGTAATTTCCTGGATAATCTTTTCTTGATTAGATTATCTTCCAGAGTGGGAGTTTAAAATGTTCCTCTAGAAAGGCAAGCTAGTAGAGCTATTTTACTTTATTTGAATTTGTGATTTAATTTTTAACATTTTACTTTGAAATCTTTGCCAATATATATAAGAACTGGATGATTGGCCGGGCGCAGTGGCTCATGCCTGTAATCCTAGCTCTCTGGGACCCTGAGGCGGGCAGATCACTCAAGGTCAGGAGTTTGAAACCAGCCTGAGCGAGATCCCGTCTCTACTAAAAATAGAAAGAAAGTAATTGACCAACTAAAAATATATATACAAAAAATTAGCCGGGCATGGTGGTGCATGCCTGTAGTCCCAGCTACTCGGGAGGCTGAGGCAGGAGGATTGCTTGAGCCCAGGAGTTTGAGGTTGCTGTGATCTAGGCTGCTGCCACGGCACTCACTCTAGCCTGGGCAACACAGTGAGACCGTCTCAAAAAAGAACAACAACAAAAAAAGAACTGGATGCTTAGTAGAAAAAACTCTCATGATGTCTTCACCCAAATTCACAAATTGTGTATTTTGCCAAATCTGTGTACTTTCTCTCTCTTTTCTTCTTTCTTTCTCTCTTTCTTTCTTTCTTTCTTTCTTTCTTTCTTCTTTCTTTCTTCTTCCTCTTTCTTCCTTTCTTCCTTTCTTCCTTTCTTTCTTTCTTTTTTTTTTTTTTGAGACAGAGTCTCACTCTGTTGCCTGGACTACAGTGCCATGGCATCAGCCTTGCTCACAGCAACCTCCAACTCCTGGGCTCAAGTGATCTTCCTGCCTCAGCCTCCCAAGTGGCTGGGACGACAGGCATGTGCGACCATGCCCGGCTAATTTTATATAATATATATATATATATATATAATATATATATTATATATATATATGTATAAAAGAGAAGAAAGAGAGAGAGGTTTTTTTTTGTTTTTTTAGTTGTCCAGCTAATTTCTTTCTATTTTTTTAGTAGAAAAAAATAGAATAAAAATAACGGGTTCTCACTCTTGCTCAAGCTGCTCTGGAACTCCCGAGCTCAAATGATCCTCCCGCCTCGGCCTCCCAGGGTGCTAGGATTACAGGCGTGAGCCACCGCACCCCGACCTTTTTCTGTCTCTTTACATGCATACCTAACCAATTGCGAGTAGATTGTTCCTTTGCTCCTTAGTTCTTCAGTGTATATTTCCCAAGAATACTGATATTCTCTTATATAACTACAAGAGTTATTGAATTCAGCAAATTTAACATTAATATAATATTATTTTATCCTCTCCATATTAAATTTCACCTACTGTAACAATAATATCCTGCAGAGGAAACTTTTCCGGTAGAGGATCCAGTCCAGAATTATATGTTCTGTTTTGTTGTATATTATATCATATCATATCATATCTGCTATACATTACATATTATTTTATATATAATGATATAAGTCATTCCTTGGTATCCATGAGGGATTTGGTTCTAGGACTCCTCCCACTCAGATGCCAAAATGCACAGATGTTCAAGTACCTTATATAAATGGTATAATATTTACATATAACCTATGCATATTATCCTATATACTTTAAATTATCTATAGATTACTTATAATACTTAATAAAATGTATATACATCGTTTCGTTTGACTGGATTCAATGTAGTACTCAGCACATAGCAAATTTAATTTTTGGTTTTTGGAACTTTGTGGAATTTTTTTCTGAATATTTTTGATTCACAGTTGGTTGAATTTACAGATGCAGAGAGATCTAGATACAGAGTGTCAATTATTAATGAGATATTATATTATAGCATAGCATATCTGTTGTCATGTATCATTAATATCCTTTAACTCAAACCGATTCCTTAGCCTTTCTTTGCCTTTCATGGCATTGGTATTTTTGGAGGATATAGCTTAGTTATTTCATAAACTATCTCTTAATTTGTGTTTGTCTGATGTTCCCTCAGGTTTAGATTCAGGTTAGACATTTGGCTGGAATATCTCAGAAGTGATTCTTCTGTGTTCCTCTGAGGATATCGTATCCAAACACACATGATGTTATATCGTCCCTTATTAGGGATGACTTAGTTAAAATAGTGTCTGTGATTTCCACTGTGGACTTATCATTTTCCTTTGGTAATCATTGTGTAATTTGTAAGGAATACTTAAGACTTTGTAAATATGCCATTCCTCATCAAATCATCCACCCAGAAGAAGGATTTTTAAATAATATCACTTAACAAAACATTCAATGAATATCTTACTATATATCATCATTTCTGCAGGTTAGACTGCCATATGTGTATCTCCTGGATTAAATGGATAAACAATAAAATTTTTAGTTGCTTTCAAATTGGTGTTTGAAACTGTGCACCAATCTACACCATCTTGCCGATATGTGAGTGTGTATTTCCATGCCCCCTGGGTATTAGAATTGTCTTCTTTTTTGTCAGTAGGTTATCAGAAATATATCTCATTTGTAGTACCAATGAGTTTAAGCATTTCTCCCTATGTTTTTGATCATATGTATTGTATTGTTGGTTGCTCATTTATGCTTTCCCTAGGATTTCCAAGGATTATCTTGTTATTCATTAATTTTCTAAATTTTTTATTTTTTAGAGACAGGGTATCACAGTATTGGACATGGCAGGTTTGAACTCTTGGGTTCAAACTATCCTCCAGCCTCAGCCTTCTGAGTAGCTGGGGCTACAGTAACACCACTGCGCCTAGCCCTTTTATTAATTTATAAAAATTCTCTATAAATGAAGAACACTAGGTTATTTTTATTTGCATAACAAACAGTCTTAACCATTTGAAATTCATATTTTAATCTTACATTATAATTTCTAGGTAACTGATTTTCTATTGATACTGTAACATACTGGTACAAGATAATTTAAAATTTGCTTATAAGCCGGGCGCGGTGGCTCACGCCTGTAATCCTAGCACTCTGGGAGGCTGAGGCGGGCGGATTGCTCGAGGTCAGGAGTTCGAAACCAGCCTGAGCAAGACCCCGTCTCTACTATAAAGAGAAAGAAATTAATTGGCCAACTAATATATATATAAAATTAGCCGGGCATGGTGGTGCATGCCTGTAGTCCCAGCTACTCGGGAGGCTGAGGCAGGAGGATGGCTTGAGCCCAGGAGTTTGAGGTTGCTGTGAGCTAGGCTGACGCCACGGCACTCACTCTAGCCTGGTCAACAAGCGAGACTGTGTCTAAAAAAAAAAAAAAATTTGCTTATAAGTGTACAAAAATGTATTGATGTTTTAAAGATATATTTTTGAGTGAAAAATCTTATAAAATGTTGTGTGTAGGAAGATACCATTATCATAAATTTAACATATGTAGAATATGTATATATACTAGAAAGTAAAAGGAAAGAATAGGTATTCATTAAATGATAAGAGTAGTAATAATCCCCAAATAGTGTGATGTGGCGGATATTGTTAATATCTGTCTTTTGGCTTTAATGTAGTTTCCACTGGCACCCTAATTAATGTTGACTACCTGTGCCAGGTTTAGTTTTTTGAGTTTTTATATTAAAAAATAATCGGGGAAAATTGACTGTGCACATTCCTTCTCCTTCTCTCCTCCTCCTTTTTATTTTTTCTTTTCTTTTTTAAAAGAGGGAGTCTTGCTCTGTCACCCAGGCTGGAGTTCAGTGGTGATCATAGTTCACTGTAACCTTGAACTCCTAACCCAAGCTTAAACAATCCTCCTGTCTCAACTACCCCCACAGCTGAGATTACAGGCACCAGGCACTGCTCTCCAGCTTTGCATTCCCTCTTATCGTAGCATTTCTCTCTAGCGCACACAGAAACACAACGCATACACATCCTATTTTTCAACGTGTAACTTGTCTAATAAATATGCAGTTTCAAAAAGTCCACTTTACAGTTCTTGTAGTTCCCCTACTTCGTCACGGTGTAGTGTTTTTATTTTTTTATTGCAATGCATTTTCGATTTTGACGTTTTTATAACTGGATCCCTCATGATCCAGACAGAGTTCTCCGCTCCCAGAGGAACACACCTCACACAGCACCTACACCACCTCTTCCCACGGACTACCGGAAATACAGCCGAGACTCCGCCCCTTCCGGTGTCGCTATCCCGTAGTCTTCCAGAAATGCAGTTTCGGGCTACCCGCAGCGCGCCTGCGTAGTGCCGTGCGCGGGTCCTCTCAGCCAAACTCCGCGAGAGGCGCGCTGTGGTGCTTTTCCGCTGCGCGGGATCAGGACGCATGCGCGCAAGTGTGGCTACCCTGCTCGAGGACCGCGGAAGTTACTGGCTTAGGCGGGTTGGGGCAGGAAGGCTGGAGTTTGTGTTCCCGTAAAACCTTCCTGGGGATAGGTTCAACCTGCTGGCTCCTCTATCTCAAGCAAGGTGCAGTGTGGGAAGGTGAGCTGGTGCCAGGAATTTTTGTTTGTTGGTTTGGTTTTTTTTTTTGAGACGGAGTCTCACTCTGTTGCCCAGGCTAGAGTGAGTGCCGTGGCGTCAGCCTGGCTCACAGCAACCTCAAACTCCTGGGCTCAAGCGATCCTGCTGCCTCAGCCTCCCTAGTAGCTGGACTACAGGCATGTGCCACCATGCCCAGCTCGTTTTTTCTGCATATTTTTAGTTGGCCAATTAATTTCTTTCTATTTATAGTAGAGACAGGGTCTTGCTCTTGCTCAGGCTGGTTTCAAACTCCTGGCCTTGAGTAGCTGGGACTACAGGCATGCGCCACCATGCCCGGCTAATTTTTTCTATATATTTTTAGTTGTCCAGCTAATTTCTTTCTATTTTTCAGTACAGACAGGCCTCACTCTTGCTCAGGCTGGCCTTGAACTCCTGACCTTGAGCGATCCTCCCAATTGGGCCTTCTAGAGTGCTAGGATTACAGGCGTGAGCCACCATGCCTGGCCTCCACATTTCTAATTAAAGTATTTACAGGTATTATCTGTTCATCCATCCAACTTTCTTTTTATTTTTTAATAACAATAATAATAATTATTATTATTTGAGACAGAGTCTTGCTCTGTGCCAGGCTAGAGTGCAGTGGCTTCATCAAGGCTCACTGCAACCTCAAACTCCTGGGCTCAAGTAGTCCTCCTGCCTCAGCCTCCAAAGTACCTGGGACTATAGGCATATGCTACCATGCCCAGCTAATTTTTCTATTTTTTGCAGTGATGGAGTCTTGCTCAGGCTGGTCTCCAACTCCTGGCCTCAAGCAATACTTGTACCTCCTACCTGACTGCTAGGATTACAGGTGTGAGCCACTGTGCCCAGCCTCCATCCAGCTGTCTTTCTGTATACTCGCATAGAAAGATGACTGCAACTTCATCGTCTGCTGTTGAAGATAGTAAGTTCTGGGAACTAGGATTTGCAATGATTACTTTTGTCTTTGTACTTTTGTGCAATTGTAATTATTTTAATAAGTGTGGTTTTATCAAATAACAGTGATTTTCGTCAAAAATAAAAAGATGGGAAGTTCATCTGCTAAGAATATTAAGGATGTTTAATAATAACTGGTGGTAGAGAGATGAATGAGTTATTTTCTTTGCACTTCTCCCTCTTTTCTCTCTTATAACATTTGTAAACAATCAAACAGATATCAAATACATATAATAAAATGGTCCAGGAGCTGTGACACCAATGTTTGTAAAGGTACATCAAGAGCCAGGCATGATGGCATGCACCTGTATTCTAAACTATTTGGTAGGCTCAGGCAGGAGGGTGGCTTGGGTCTAGGAGTGCAAGTCCAGCCTTGGCAACATCTCTAAACAAAAAAAGAAAGGAATGAAAGGAGGGGGAACTGGAACCAATCCTCCACATATACCAATGGGTGGCTGTGTATATACTTGTTCATGTGGCATGTCCACACACATATGTGTATTATGAACTAATGTGTAATAATTTCTTCTCAAAAGAAAAAGGAAAAAATTTGTAAGAAAGGGCAACATAAGTGGGACAGTGAATAGGGATAGAGGGTTGGATCTTAAAAGTGAACATGAATTCTTGGGAAGTCATTTGGTACCCTGGTTTGAATGGAACAGGGGTATTTTTTTTAGGAATAAGAATGCACAAGATTAAGTGTGCTGTATGGATCCAGGTGATAAAAGATTGGGTGCCAAGCTGGCATTTCTCACTTCCACCTTTCATATTTTTTCTGTTGGTGTGGGGTAGGGAAATTGTAGGTTTGTGCTGAAGAGCAAAATTACTGCATTTTACATGGTTGGCAGCAAGGGAAAACAGAAGTCAAAAAAACAAAAAACCCTGAAGTCTAGAACTTAGATTCTGGTCATTAAAGTGCTCACAGTTAATGAGAATCAAATGTATGAACTAATAAGTAAAAAATATTGATGTGTGTGTCAAGTTGCACTGGGGCAAAAAAAAAAAAAAAAAAAGGAGTATAGACCCACCAATGGGTATCTGTCAAAAAGTTTAATTCCATGACACGACTGTGGGAAGATTCACAAATAATGAATTCTATATTCCGTTTTAGGAAATGACCAGGAAGTTGGTAACCATATAGAGATGCATGAAGAAAATAAGGAGAGACTTTTGAATCAAGTAAACTTCATCTATAGGAAAATATATACTAAGAAAGGCTATGGATATGAAACATTGTAAAAAGCATTCCATTGAGACAAAAAGTCCATGAGTATGTCTTAAGTGGAAAGAGTTTGAAACATAATTTAGATGTACTTAATTGTAGAAGAAAGAACCTTTTTGAATTTAATGGAGGTGAAAAATCATTCAGTTATAATTCATCTAAATAAAAGATAAGAAAATTCATACAGTGAAGAAAACGTATGGATTTGGTGACTGTGGGAAAGTGTTCAAACAGAAGTCATACCTGATGGGACACCAGAAAATATATACTAGAGAGAAGCTCTATGGATGTAATGAGTGCAGGAAAGCCTTTGTTGATTGTTCATCCCATGCTAGGCACATAAAATCCTATATGCATGAGAGACCCTATAAATGCAATTTCTGCCTGAAAGCCTGTGGCAGAAAACATACCTCATTATACACCAGAGAATTCACATTAGCAAGAAACCTTATGATTTTAGTCAGCATGGAAAAGCCTTTATTGATAGTCCATCTCTTTTTCAACATATGAGAAATTATATAAGGAGAATCTCTATGAATGCAATCAGTGTGGAAAGGCCTTCAGGTGAAGCTCAACTTTCTTGGAGCATGAGGGAACCCATACAGGGGAGAAGCCCTATGACTGTAAAGAAGGTGGTAGAACGTTCAATAAGACATCCCAGCTCATTATTCATCATAGAACTTATACTGAGGAGAAATTCTATGCATGTACTGAATGTGGGTAATCCTTCACTGATCATTCCACCTTCAGGCATCATATTAGAACTCTCACTGGAGAGAAACCTTGTAAATGTAATGAATGTGGAAAAGCCTTCTGCCATGTGACTGGTCTCATTTGACACAAGAGAATCCATAGTGGAGAGAAACTATATATTTCTAGTGTATATGAGGAATCCTTCTGAAATAGCTTGGTCCTTTCTCAAATAAGAGAACTCATACTGAAGAAGCCCTGTGAATGTGATGAGTGTGGAAAAGTCTTTGCTCATAGTTTGTCCCTCAGTCAACATGCAAGAACTCATACAGACAAAAAAAATCTTGTGACTCACTAGATGTCAGAATTAACTAAATGTTTATTAGACACTAAATGGTTCATATTATAGATTACCTTTAGTAATTTATCAAGCTTAATGAAACTTATACATCTTCAAACTCTATTATATTAGAAGTCATTTTGCAAGCCTAATAGCCAACTACTATTAAATGTTTATAGAACATACTTATGTTAGGCCTATTTTTTGTATAGTATAAAGGTTTAAAACATACAGTAGGAAGAAAAGAACAACAGAATAATACTATATGCACTTCAATAGAGTATCTTATAATGTTATATATAAGGTCAATAGTTACTTCTTAGTATTTTTTACATATGAATACATATATTGATTTTTAAGAAATCAGAAGGAAACACATTCATTTTATGATTATTCATTTAGAATATTACATGCAAAGGTGGTGGGGAAACTGATTCACTGGGGTAAATGGAGATATATTACTTTCCTGTTAGCATTTGTGTGAATACTGCATTTTTAAAATGCCTAATCCAACACTTAAACCAAAATGTTACTTGCTTCCTTACCACAATGTTGCTTGATATTATGTAAAATCAGAATTAAATCTCCATAAATGATTACAAAACTCTGATATATACAATACTGAATCTGATCAGTCTTCTCAAGTACACTTTATGAATTTAAAAAGTAAATTGTATACATGTTTCTAAATATTTATTTTAATTGCTATTTTGGACCATGAGTTGCAACTATCATAAAACAAAAGTGATCTTTGGGGTCAAATAGGTGTTATCTGTCAAAGTTGTTACCTCCTGCATTTGTATTACTTCATCCAAGCACAAGAAGAAGGTTAGTGAGCCTTTTTTGCATGATGTTTGGAATAAATGGACAGTCACACAATAAACACTATTTTGTGGCCACAGAGCACTTCTTTATTGAGCTTTCTTTTCTGTCTCAGTTGCTGTGCTTGTCTCTTTATTTTCTCTTCTTATATTTTTGGTGTCATCTGAGCAATTCCAAAATTTCTGCCTAGGCGCTGAGGCTCCAAGAAGTCAGTGTGTGTCAGGGTTGAGAGGAAGATTCCTTGAGCTATGCTGATCATATTGAAGGTTTACTCAGACGTATGAGAAAGTTTAAAGTAAATGACATTCATTTTAGTGGAAAAACATGTTTCTAGGGACAATTTTCTGAGACATAGACATAGACATCAGTAAAAGCCCAATTTTATCAAGGCCAATACTGCCTGTATTTACAGAGAAACTCTACCTAGAGCATTAGCATTAGACTTCATTCTCTTATTATTCCATATAATTCTCAAATCATCAAAATTACTTTGGCAAGAAGACTTCTAAAACTTTCTTTCAAAAACTTTCCAAACCTGTATTAATTAGAATTCCTTGTGTTGGAAATGAAAGAACACTCAAACAATCTTAAGCAAAAAAAGAAAGTCCATTGGTTCATATCACTGGAAAGTCCAGTATAGCTACTGGAAAGGAAGAAATTGTGATAATTTTTAGAGATTAAATGATTATTTAGAAAACCAGAAACAAAAAAGATTAAAACTCATGTTTATATGACCGATACAAAGAACTATATTTTTTAGATCAACGGCATTCCAAAAGAACTACAGTTAGAATGAAAATGGGAGATTGTTTCATTCAGAATAGTTCCATAAAATGTAAAATACTTAGGAACAAGTTAATAAAAAATTATGGTTTCTACATTCTTTGCAGAAACTAAATAAATATATTATTGTGTTCAGTTCAAATAATATCTTAGAAATGTGTAGAAAGTGCCCTGGAGAAAAGAGCCCTGCAAATGCATCATGTGGACGGCGGGCGAAACGGCAGATCATTTCAGCAGCAACTGGGCTCTATGCAATGCCGTAGAAAGTAGACATCTGCTTCTTTCCATATTTTAACACAGATAAATGAGGTAGCTTTGCACACATTTGGATTTTTTTTTTTTTTTTTTGAGACAGAGTCTCACTCTGTTGCCCGGGCTAGAGTGCTGTGGTGTCAGCCTAGCTCACAGCAGCCTCCAACTCCTGGCCTCAAGCAATCCTCCTGCCTCAGCCTCCCGAGTAGCTGGGACTATAGGCATGCGCCACCATGCCCAGCTAACTTTTTCTATATATTTTTAGTCGGCTGATTAATTTCTTTCTATTATTAGTAGAGACGGGATCTTGCTCTTGCTCAGGCTGGTTTTGAACTCCTGACCTTGAGCAATCTGCCTACCTCCACCTCCCGGAGCGCTAGGATTACAGGATTGAGCCACTGAGCCCAGCCAGCTTTGCACTCATTTGGAAGAAGATGAACTAGCATTAGTGTTTTTGTCACTAAGGAAGGCTGGGAAGTGTCATATGAGATTGTCCAGGCAAACCCCCAAACTTTGGAAATATGAGGAGATGGAGTCCAAGCCTCATTTGGGTGTGGAGATAGTTGTATCACAAGGCCACCTGGAGAGAGATCAAGCATCCCTAGGTATGTCCTGGAAGAAACATTGATGGATTCAAAAGAATGAACAAAGGAGAGGATTCTGATTTAGGATTGATATTTTTAATCAGAGTAGGCTAGGTGTCATGGCTCATGCCTATAATCCCAGCACTTTGGGAAACTGAGGCAGGAGAACCACTTGAGTTCAAGACCAGCCTGGGCAACATAGTGAGACCCTATCTCTTAAAAAAATAGCCAGTCATGGTGGCATGCTTGCCTGTAGTCCCAGCTACTCAGAATCAGGAGGCTGAGGTGGGAGAATCACTTGAGCCCAGCAGTTCTAGGCTTCAGAGACCTTGATCACACCACTGCCTTGCAGCCTGCTGGGTGACAGAGCCAAACTCTGAGACTCTGTCTCTTATTTATTAAATTTTTTTTTTCTGTTGCCCAGGCTAGAGTGCCATGGCGTCAGCCTAGCTCACAGCAACATCAAACGCCTTGGCTTAGATGATCCTTCTGCCTCAGCCTCTCAAGTAGCTGGGACTACAGGCATTCGCCACCATGCCCAGCTAATTTTTTCTATTTTTAGTAGAGATGAGGTCTCGCTCTTGCTCAGGCTGGTCTCAAACTCCTGACTTCAAATGATCTGCCCACCTCGGCCTCCCAGAGTGCTAGGATTACAGGCAAGAACCACCACACCCAGCCCATCTCTTAAATTAAAAAAAGAAGAAAAAAAGCACGTGGCTGCTAAAATTCCTGGGTATTGCTGTTCTCCCTGCCAAAATTCCCCACTTGTTGGTCGGTTAGTGTCAGTAATAACATTTAACATTTACATAGTTCTCAGCCTATTCTAAACACTTTTCATAAACTGAGTTAATATATTGAATCCTTCCAAAACCCTACAAAATAGATTTCATGTCTAAACTATTTTACAGATAAGGAGATTAAGTAATTTACCCTTAGCCAATTTGATCCCTTGCTGGCTGTTGGCCAGAGGTGAAAGACACAGCCAAGCTCTGAGCACAGGCAGTCCGGCCTTATGTCTTAGCTCATCTGATTTGCTCCATGTCACGTCTGCAGTCACGACCCTTCGTGCCTTATGCCTGTCAGGCGCACTGCAGCGACTGGCTGTGGGGTGAGGGCTCTGGGGTTTCACTTGTCTGTGCGTTGAGGTGGGGCTGTAGGGATCCAACAACCTTGTGTGGCTGGATCCACCTGTTCCTGATGCTCCCAGGTCTTAACGCTGGCAGGGGCCTTCAAACTTTTTAAACAGGGGGACAGATCGTTGGAGGGCCGTTGGAGAGTGCAGCGCACATTCCACACATGCGCACTGTGGGCCCGGGACAAGCTGGCTGCTAAGCAGGACAGGCTGCGGCGACAAAAACACCTGGGCGGGCAGGATAAATGTCCTTGGCGGCTGCATGTGGCCCACAGGCCGTAGTTTGAGGATCCCTGGAATAAGGGGTGAAGAGGAGGTTGTTGGTATGCAAATATAAAGCTATAAGTGACATTGTAAGGCTCCTTCATTTATTTATACTCATTAATTTATTTATTCCACAAATATTTGAGTGAAAGAATACAATAGAACGTCGTGTTCTATTTGTATTTCTCTGTTTAAATGACAAGTAAATATATATATTAGTGTATAAATGATGTTTTTGAGATACATATACCGTATATAGTGGAATGGTAATCTCTTTAACATATGTCTTTACTTACATAGTTAATTGTTTTGGCTCGTGTGAGACACCAAAATCTCTCTTAGCTTTTAAAGTATACTGTATTTTTCTATCCCCCGCAACCCCCAAATCAAACCACTGCTATTTTTAAAGCAGTTTCTATCCTCATCTTTTCTGAAAACAGAAGCTTCTTGTACAGTCATGTGCGGCATAACAATGTTTGGTCAATGAAAACACTCACAGAGAGGTTGTCCCATGAATTCTAATGGCGCTGAAAATTCCTATAGCCTAAAGGGGAAAAATATTGTAGTCAAAGTAATATTATACACATTACATAATTTAAGTAATTTATGTAGCCTAAATGTCAGTGTCTATAAAGTCTACAGCAATCCTGCATCTGGCAGGCTGAGGCAGTGATATTGAGCTCAGAGTTCAGACCAGCCTGAGCAAGTGAGCCTGTCTCCACTAAAAAAAAAAAATAGAAGAAATTATCTGACAATTAGAATATAGAAAAAATTAGCTAGGACTGGTGGCGCATGCTTACTCCTGGGGTGAGGCAGAAAGATCGCCTGACCACGTTTGAGTTGCTGTGAGCCTAGCTGACGCAGGGCACTCTAGCCTGGAACAGAGCAAGATCTGCCTCATATAATCAACAAATATAAATAAAGTCTCATGCCGTGCATAGAATGTCCGCAGGCTTCACGTTCACTTCAGCACAAACTCACCGAGAAGCAACTTCAGTCTGCAGGCTCGTTACCGGTAAGTGCATTATAACAGCTGAACTGTTTTTATTTTCCATACTGTGTTTTTACTGCACCTTTTCTGTTGTTCTAGATATTGTTGAGAGAACAAAAATCCTTACACTTGGTTACTATTGGCCCACCGCCCGCATGGTGCTCGCGCTCAGGTGCGGCCGGGCAGGTTGTGTGGCCTGGCAGGTGCGGCCTGGAGTTGGTGGCCTGGGCAGGGGCGGCCTGGGCAGTGTGTGGCCTGGCAGGTGTTGTGGGCCTGGGCAGGTGCGGGCCTGGGCCAGGTGTGATGGCTGGCTGGCAGTGTGGGCCGGTCAGGTGTGTGGCCTGGGCAGAGTTGTGCTGGGCAGGTGGGGCCTGGGGCAGGTGGCGCCTGGGCAGGTGTGTGGCTGGGAGGTGTATGGCGGTGGCCGCTGCCTCCCTCCGTCCCCGCCGGACTGCGCTGTGCGCGGCATGCACTCAGCCTCGGGCAGCACGCGGGACCCCAAGGTTCCGGCTTTTCCGCTCCATGCAGCCACGGAGACATCACAGATGCACAACATGCGGTTTTCTTTCTTTGGTTTCCTGGACATCCCACCTCCTGCCCCGCAGGCTGCGCCCGCCCCGCAGTGGCAGCCGGGTCTGTATCGCCCCTCCAGCCAGGAAGGAGGCCCAGCTCTGGGGCTGTATCCCTAAGCGGGCTCTTCCCCAGGTAAGCAAGAGTTCCCATATGTTGGAACCCCCTCTGCCACATCTCGATGTTTTCTCCGTATTATCTAACTTTGGCCTAATCATTTTTCTTTTTCGTTTTTATTTTTATTTATTTATTTATTTTTTGAGACAGAGTCTTGCTCTGTTGCACAGGCTAGAGTGAGTGCTGACATCAGCTACCTCACAGCAACTCCAACTCCTGGGCCAAGCGATCCTCTGCCTCAGCCTCCCAGTAGCTGGGACTACAGGCATGCCGCCACCATATCTGGATAATTTTTTCTATATTATTTTAGTGCGCAATTAATTTCTTTTCTATTTATAGTAGAGACTGTTGCACTCTTACTCAGGCTGGTCTTGAACTCCTGAGCTCAAGC